GTTGCAAAGATGGGCATAACAGTTATTCTCAAATAAGCCGGTCCGTTTTGGAACTATATAACACCGTCGATTACCCGTAAAGGCAGCCATAGTGACCATAACTATTTAGTTTCCTTGTTGCGTTGCTCGATCTCCATTCCGGACAATGCGATCATACAAAATGCGCAACTCCGGGTCCGTTGGTTGTAATTGAATCCAATTATCTATTTCCGGTGCGTCTAAGACGACGGCAGTTGCGCAAGCCGCTGTGCACAGTGGGCATCCTCCATGATCCATTGCAGGCATTCGACATAAGGCGCCGCCATTCCAGTGCTATGTGCCCAAGCGGTGTTGAGATTCAAATTCATATTCCTGCAATTGCTCCTACCAATGGGCGATCTGTCCCTCAGGCTTTCGAGAGTTTTAAATCCAAATCAATGATTGGTGGCCCGCACGGACAATAAACTTGCGACCGAGCAGATAGTGCATAAATTGCTTGATGAAAGACACCGCCAGTATTTGCTTCGGTGTTGTGCAATAGTTACGCTCCCTCTGCGAAAGACATCTGCTGGCATAGCATTCACGGGTTCCATTCCTTCAGCTGTGCGTGGTGAGAGCACCGCTCCAATGCCAGTGTCACTGGTATCTGTGTCCAAAGTGAAAGGGGTGGATACAGGTCAGGGAATGTCAAAATCGGCTCTTCACACAGTGCAATCCGAAGTGTTCCAAATGCTTCTTGTTACGCACTTCCCCAAATGAAGTTTGACCAGCCTTCAAAAATTCATTCAGTGGACTAGCGATGTTGGCAAATCGTAGTAAGAAACTCCGATAGTAGGAGGCAACCTCGAGAAAACTACGCATTTCATCAGCGAATTTTCTGACTGACCATGAGCGGACCCCCTCGACGTTCTCCAGATTACGGGGCATTCTTTCTCCAGACATGATGTGACCTAGGTAGGCCATTTCCTCCCCTTGGAAGTGGCAGCTTTAGGGTTAAAGTTCTAACCCCAGCTTCAATAGCCCATCAAGCACAGCTATTAGGCTCCTTCTGTGTTCTTCCTTTGTTATACTGTGCACAATGATATCGTCTAAGCAAACTAGCTAGTGTTTCGGTGTGAGCTGTGCTAGAGTTGTGTGCATTAGGCGCTGAAACGTTGCGGGCACATTCGTTAAGCCAAACGGCATGGTCTGGAATTCGTACAATTCGGACAGGATAATAAACACCGACCTGCACCTGTCGTTATGGTGCAGCTCAACTTGTCAATAACCCGAAGCCAGGTTCAAGGTAGTGAGCCAACGTGAGCCGCTAAGAGCATCCATCGTGTAATTCGTTCTTGGTCACAGAAAGGAGTGCTTTCGATCAGCCGTGTTGAGCTTCCCATGATCTACACAAAGCCACAGCTCCTCGCGCTTCTTTTGACAAGAACAATGGACGATGCTAAGGGCGATTTTGACGGGCAATTAATACCGCGTCGAATCAGGTCTTCTATAATACGCTTTAATTCTTCCTGGAACTGAGGGGACACACGTTTAGCTGGTTGTCGACTCGGTAGAGCATTGACTTTGTCAAGGTGCTATTGCAAAAATTTGCATCGATCAACCTCATCCGCTGACCAAGCAAAAGCATGTTGGTATTGGAGTAGAGGTCGACAGTTCTGCAGGAATTTTTTGAATAAATTATTGTGTGTACGCCTCTTCTATCGCACAAGACATCACAGGAGTGTTGGTAGAGACGAATGGTACAGCCAAATCTGTCTAAGGCGACCATTCAGGGTACCGACAAAAGTGGTTATCTTGGACTTGTGGTCGCCAAGGACAGGTTGACGCAGGGGAAGTTACTCGTAGGACAAGATCTTGGAAATTTTTTCGTCTGGTCGCCACAGACAGGTGGTCACCATAGCAGGTTGAACTGTATTATATGATTTCCGACTTCCAAGCTCTAGCTAAGCAAATTAATTTTTGCTTTGAAACAGGTAAGGAGGTCAACTCCTAACATTACGTCCCATGGAAGACCACTGCAAATAGAAACAATTGTTGGGTGACTGAAATCTCTTCCAAATTCACTATGGCTGTGGTCCAACCTATGAGTTTGGCAGCGGTCCTATTGGCTGCCATCAAGTTCACTGGACTGTCTTGGAAGTTGTCTGGGTCTGTTGGAACGATACGCTTTCAAACTATAGAGCGTGTGGCTCCCGTATCAAGCGACATCTTGACCCGATCAGACCAAAAAATCCAGGCGTGAGAGGGACAGCCGCACTGTGCACGCTAGCTACAGCCTGAACAGTAAAAAAACACTTTCGGGACCCACCTCGTCGGTTGTGCTCACAAATGTTAACAGTAGTCCCCAACTTCCGGTGACGCAGCTCACTTTGCTGTGGACTTCTGTCCTACTGGACAGTAGGGCGGTTGGGGATAAGAAGATCCCTTCTTTCGACGCAACTCATTGACGCATCCGTAGCTGCATCCACACACCCAAGTTTCTCCGCCAATTCCAGAGCGTCGCCCAATTACTGTGGTGGGTGGAACAAGGACTCTCTTTTGATAGACAGTGTATGCATACCTTCCATCAATTGTTCCCAGTTACGTTACTTCTGTGACTCCCGATATTTGTCCGCGAACGGATGCACAGCAAAACATTTTAGATCCCGAAAGAGAGCTCCTTGGTTTTCGTTCGGTTGTTGATAACGAGTGTGGAATGTCTGGCGCCAATGCGTGGGTAGCGGTGGTAAGTCCATGAGTCTTGCAAGTTCCTCAAAGGTTGCTGCGTTAACCTGTTTTTCAATATGTGATTATAGGCCAAAATGTCGAAGGCTTCATCCGCAAGTCATCCTAGCAAAATGTTTTCACTCATAGTCTCCGGAAGACTCAAGATGTACGCTCTCACCTGATCTGCCCATCTGGAGTAATGCATGACAAAAGGATATTTTCCCGGAGCCGGAAGCCGAATGTCGATCGACGAACTACATTCTCCAAAACATCCGACAACTTTGTCCCAACTGAGAACAGGTGCACCCCAGCTGCTCTGGCAACTGCAGTAGGGTCTTCTGAAAACGTTTCCGTTATTTCCTATATAGGGTTAACTGGCAGTGTCGTCAATATATGCTATATTCGTCCAGTTCAGCTCCGGTCAGGTCAGGTCTTCAGAGACGAAACAAACCTTCGCCTAACGAGCGTCCCGTTGCGTGTGCCGGTACTAAAGCCAAGGCCCCCGGCATTTCGAGGTTCAATCTTCACTTCTGCAGAGACAACAGAAGAGTAAGAAGCACCTCACATAACTTCAGGAAACTATTCGTGACATCCTATTGACCACGGGGTATTTGGTCCTAATTGGAATCCATTAATCACAGTTCAATTCCGGAAACAGAGTGGACTAATTTATATATAGACCGCTTTTAAATGCTGCTATAGTATTACATTCTACTAGTGAGCAGGAAGTAAATTCCAACAACGTACTACCCGGTTAGTGAAGGATTTCAACCGAACATCGAGTCCGGACTATCAGGTCTTCCCTTAATCTGCGTCGTTCCAATGAGAACAAGCCCAAACAAACCAGGCGGTCAACATGCGACTTTCACGCTGAGTTTCAATCAGTCCAGTGGCCAGTCTTTGTAGCTTCTCTAAGCAAGCGATGTCCTTTCGAAATTAAGGTGTCCAAGCTTGAACACAGCACTCTAAGTGCGGCAGAACCACTGCTTTGAACAAAAGGTGGAAGACAGGTTTGGTATCCCACAACGCTTTCCTGAGGCAAAATGTCCTGCCGCGCTCTGTTAGCTGCCTGTTAGCACTGCGCCGAAGATCGGAAGCTATCTACCATAACAATGCCCAAGTCCCTCACTTTATCTGCACACCGCAATGTCAGGCACCCAGTGGATGTTTGCACCATGATCCCAACGTTATTGGATGACAACAGCTGACATCTGTTCGCGTTCAATGGCAAGTCCCATGATTCAGACCACTTTGCCACAGTGCCCAGAACTTTAGATCACATATCCCTATCTCCCCTACTGATAATCTTTACATCGTCTATAAAAATATAAGAAGGGTTCTCGAGGAGTGGAGCTAGCACATTTATTAATGTAAGTAACAACAGCGGCCCTAGTTCGGCACCACAGGTTCTTCTGTGTAGAAAAACTCAAAGTGGTGGTCGGAGTAAATTGTGTTAATGAACCGGGGTTGAATCCGTCACACAAATCGCAGAGAGATCACAGATGTAAGGCAAGGCGCACCGTTCAAAAGGCAATCTAGAAGAAAAGCCGATATAGTTCGAGTTAGCAGATGACTAAGAATAAGCATGTGCCCAGGCCAGTTCCGGCTAGATGGCTGAGGAGATACAAACAATAAGTCCGGCGTTACAATATCTTCTCGACGGCTATTTATAAGGCGGCATAGTGACAGAGAAAAAACTAAACAGAAATTTGGGCTGCAATAGAAAGAAAACTATCACACTGCATTCGTATGTAGCTTCAAAATATCTTATTATTTGCTAAGATTGAAATGTACATTGTACAACTTTCAATAAATCCGGATGTAGAAGTCGTCCTAGGAACCCTGCTCCGAATAGCTGGATTAATCCCGAAACAAGCGCCATTTCTAGAGTCACCTTTCAATAGAAAGCTTAGTTGTCACCTTTTCCTGGCCAAAAGCTCGCAAACCCTTTATCAGTCCATGCAACACCGCGGAATTTTGACGAACTGTAAAAGCATATTCAGGTTCCACCTGGTTAACATGTGCATTCGACAACACGCATTTTCTCCCATACAGTAAAGCAATCGACGCGGAATACGTTGCAGTCTATCACCAATCAACCAATTTACGTTTCCACCTAAATTTCAGCATCTTGCTATTGCCACTTTTCAGGTACTTTTGCATTAGTTTCCACAAGCTTTAGTAATTAGGATTCTATTTGCTATTCTCTCCGAGCCTCAGTATGCGCATACATAATCATTAGTATTCCTTGCAATACCTTACATTGGCCCCATTTTGTTTTGTTTTGCGCCGAAACGGGTCAAATGTCCACTCAGACCACAACCACGGGCCCACGTCTAGATAAGCCTCAGCAACGAAGAAGAAATTTGGAACCCAAAGCCTCTCCAAAGTCCCCAAAGGTCAGTTGGCGAAACCACTTTACTGAGCGACACATTACATATGCTGATCTCACCGCTTGCAAATATCTTTCACCTTGTTGTTGAGGTCCATTGGAGTATTTACTTCTTACAGCTTCCTGGGTATACAGCGTGCATCGTAATTGGTGTGAAATGTAGTGTTTCGTTTCTTTTTACATGGCACATAAAGGTAGTTAGTTCTTTCGAACGATTCATGTGAGATTGTAATGTATAGGCTAAAAGAACAATCTTGTTGCAAGCAGCTTGCTATGCTATCCTTTGCCGAACAATGGGGGGTCAGACGTATGGATTTCTCGCAGTTGGTGGCACTCGTACTCTAAATGATATAGACATCCGTACTAACGCTGCCATGCAAGATTCGGGTTGCAGTACTCGCTCACCTTCATCTGACCGAAGCAGGTTGGCGACTGAGTCACGAAGCTTTGACAATTCATTGACGATGTTCAACGAGCATGATTAATTCCTTGGAACCAGGGATGTTTTACATTCTAAATGCGTTCCTTCAAGTAGAATATTACATCTTAAGGTGTGATCACATAAGAAAGCGTGATTGTGCTGCTTTTGAAACTGGCCAGTTTTTCGCTAAAGTACCCATAATTGGTCTTACTTCACCACAAACAGTATGTTATAAGAAAGCTGGCTTCGACCACTTTGAATTCCAAATGTCCGGTAAAGTCAATGCATTTCGCATGGCCCCGATTGCAAGCAAAGTTTATCACAACTACTCCCCTACAAAGGTAGTATGGTCGATTTATAACTTGCATCCACAAGGTCATTAATATTCACTCAAAACACTTCGGACTGGCTTCATTTTGCGATAGCTGCTGCAGTCTATGAGGAGTAGTCTGAGATAATTGGATAGGAGCAAGGCTTTGTAACATTCAGGGGTGCTTCACCCTTGCCTGACTGTTGTGAATTTCATGCAACAACGCTGAATGCGCCTTCTAGAGTATACCAAAACTGAAGAAACAATATAAGTGAAGTCACAATATGGAGTATCGTTCGAATCCTATTTCCTTCTCGCTTTCATTTTATTTTGTCCAATCAACTCTGTCATGCTCACGATAGTATTCAACCAAGCCTCCAACCATCAGTATGTCTAAACCGTGCCTCTCCTCTGTGATATATATATATATATATATATATATATATCACAGAGGAAGTGGAAGGCACGATTAAACTCCACACCAAAATCTGCCTCGACGGGGAATCGAACCCCGGTCCCACGAATTTCCGGTCCATGACTTCTACTTTCTACGAAACTTACGCTACTCACAAACATCCTTCAAGTAATTTACTGTCGCCCATTGGACATCTGAAGGACAGGTACTTCGCTCCTTTGGGAAGTGACGGGTGAGTGAGCCGATCTGCAACACCAGGACAGTTACTGTGAGCTCATTGGCAATACGTTGCGCATCAAGCAGAAGTCATGTATTAAATCGCGCACCTACTCATCAGCCCTCGGTCGCTCAGTTTTAGAGCAGCGGACCGGTACTTCGTGGGACCGGGGTTCGATTCCCCGTCGAGGCAGATTACTGTGTGGAATTTAATTGCGCCTTCTACTTTCTACGAACCTTACGCTACTCACAAACATCCTTCATGTTATATATATATATATATATATACTGAATACTGTATTATAGAGCAAGTAGAAATGGATTCTGTACAACTCTTTCGAAATATTGTGAAAAACATTATAATAGTTGTCAACCGTGAATATCCTTGGCGTTCTCATGTAATATTTAAAATATTCGACTTACGATATTTCAGGATTCACAAATGTGATATTTCATCGTAAGTATGCAGTCGTTCTCTGAAGCGAATAGAGGCAAAATGCAAATCTAACAACGTTTTGAACTGTTGCACAGATGTTGCCTCAATCACATGTTCGGGCAAACTATTCCAAACGTTTACCACTCTCCGTTCGAAGCACAGTGGGTGGGGAACACGTTTCATATCCGGCACGACAAGTTTGTATCTGTGTCCGCGTGTGCTGCATGGCCCTCGTAAGTGCAGCATTGGCCTTAACATGGGGAACTCACCGAGATGTAGAATTCGGTAGGTCATAATGAGGTCGACTCGCACCCGACGGTAGGACAAGGTGTAGAGTCCTAGTTTCTCGCACCGGTCTTCATACCCCGAGCCACGTAAACTCGAGATGAGCCTGATAGCAACGTGTTGGACCCGTTCGATCTTTTGTGCCTCGCCTCGGGTAATCGGAAAGTAGGCGGGCGAACCGTACTCTAGCATTGGTCTAATGATAGAAGAGAACAGGCGAGTGGCAACCTCTTCAGACCATGTGCAGAAACTACGTTTGAGCGCCCAAAGCATGCGCAGTCCGTTCCGATATAGCCTGTTCGTGTTGTCCACGGACTTCAAATCGTAGCGTGAGAGTACACCTAGGTCCTTCACGGAGGGTGTGGGATATAGCGTTTGGCCGTCAAGTGTGTAGGTTCGGACGTCTGCACCCTTCCCCAGGCTCATAAATACCGACTTGGCTGGGTTGACCGGGAGAAGAACTTCTGCAGACCATGTGGATAAGCGGTTGAGATCTTGCTGAAGTAGGCCACAGTCGTCGGGAGCGTCGATTTCTCTCCAAACCTTCATGTCGTCCGCAAACAAGGCACACGGCGACTGGAGAAGCTGCGGTAGATCGTTGATGTGGGTCAGGAACAAAGTGGGCCCCAGCACAGTGCCTTGAGGCACGCCACTTGTAGAGGGGTACCAGTCAGTTAGATGGTCGTCGACCTGTACCCTCCACTTTCGTCCAACAAGAAAGTCGCGGATCCACCGGTGCAGTGAGCCACCGACGCCACATATGCTGAGTTTGTGAAGGAGAACCTCATGACTGACCTTGTCGAACGCTTTACTGAAATCGATGAATATCACGTCGACGGACTTCCCCTTGTTTATTGCCTTCAACCACTCATGCCTTGTCACAAGCAGGTTAGTAATGCATGAGCGACCTTGCATAAAACCGTGCTGTGCGGGCGTCAGGACCTCGTTTGACTGTAGCAACTGCAGCAATCTCTTCTTCACGATTTTCTCAGCAACCTTTGCCAATATAGGTGTCAGACAAATTGGCCTGTAATTGTCTACTTTGCTAGGGTCGCCGCCTTTCGGAGTAGGCTTCACCACCGCACATTTCCAGTCAACCGGCAACAAACCTTCGAAGAGCGACCTGTTGAAAAGGTCAGTCACGATAGGAGAGAGGATGGTTGAAAGTGACTTGAGAACCAGTGGGTGAAGCCCATCAGGTCCGGCAGGTTTGGTGCCGTCAAGGTTGGCGAGTAGTTGAGCTACCTCTTCGACGCCGCAATGCAGACTATCAAGTTCGGTAAAAGCAGTACACGTCGAACTCGGAACAGACACCTGGTTATTCGCAAATACAGAAGCGAAGTGCGCCGCCAACGCGGACGCACGCTCAGTGCTGGAGGTTAGGGGCTGTCCATCCGTGCCATCCAGCACTGGCATATCACCCGCCGGCTTCAGGCGTCGCTTCACGTATGCAAAAATTCTCTTTGGGGCGGTCTTCGCGGCTAATGCGAGCTGCTCTTCAAAGTGTCGGCGTTTATTCTTTTTTGTACTGTTGCAGAGATTCCGCTGACATTTATACCCTTCGTAATCTTTGGCAGAGCCAGAGAGAAGGAATTTGTCCCACAGTCTGCGCCGCCTCCGAGCCAGGTTTCCATACTCCTTATCAAACCAATGAGGCTTAATCGGTCCAACCTTTCGACATTTTAATGGCACAAATTTGGAACACAATGATGTCAATCTCTCTTTTATAAATATCCAACAATCTTCCACAGATGCAGTTTGTGACAGAGACCAATCCAGTAGGCTCGAGGCTCGAGAAAAAGACCATCGAAGTCAGTTTTCCAGTAGTTGGGAGCTGGTTGCAGCGGATGTGAATACGGCAAAGATAATTCCATATCAGCTATCTGTACTGAGTGGTCGCTCGTAGCCAGGGGCTCCAGAATCCTAACGTCACGCACTCGTTGTTCGTAGCTCGTTAACATCAGGTCGAGACAGGACGAGGTTGAACGTGTTGATATGCGTGTTGGCTGGCATATGCGTTGTGATGCACCAGTTTCGAGTACCAAATCCACGAACTTTGTTTCAACCTCACTATGTCCAGGCATCAAATGCACATCAGACCATCGTATTCGAGGACAGTTAAAATCGCCCATAAGCGGAAAGTGTGGACGACTCATGTGGGTCCGAAGATAGGGCAGCCAATCCAAACAACGACTCAGGGGACTGCGATAAACTGCGCCCACAAGCAGTTCTCCGCGCCTGAGGCGGATGGAGCACCACAGTAGCTCACACAGGCCATCGTCACTTCGGTAGGTGCTCACAAGTCTCCCACGCAGGGAAGACCGGATGTAAAGTAAGACACCACCGTATATATATATATATATATATATATATATATATATATATATATATATATATATATATATATATATATATATATATATATATATATATATATATATATATATATATATATATATATATATATATATATATATATATATATATATATATATATACATGAACTGTTCAAGTATTCAGATTTATTGTGCAAATGGCTTGCACTAGGAAAGGGCGAAGGACATACGGAAGCTTCAGAACACTGCGTCAGTCTATACAGGATGTAACTGACAGAATGTGTGCAACGAAAGACATCAGTACACGTTAGCAGAGGGTGAGTAACACCACGGCTAATGTTCCGCAGTAGAACAAAGATAATATACTAAGCATTGCAGACTACAAAAACAAGTAATGTGTTACTAAATATTAATAAATATTATTATTATTAAATATTATAATATGTATTGGGTATTCATATGTGTTAATTATGTAGGTAAAGTATAGAGAGCGTATGCTCTTTAGGGCTGAAAGTCCTAGGTATGGAAAACAAATATGGGCAGAGCACTGCGTAATCAACAACTGACAAGACATCCCGACACGCATTC